ATGCAATTGAGAAAATTCGCACTAGCATGAAAATTGCCCAGGATAGATAAAAGAGTTATGTAGATAGAAAGAGAAAGGGTCTCGAATTTTCAATTGGTGATAAGGTATTCCTTAAAGTGGCATCAATGAAAGGAATGCTATGTTTGGGCAAGAAGGGTAAGTTACGACCAAGGTTTATTGGCCCGTTGGAGATCTTGCAATGTATCGAGAACGTCGCATATCAGTTAGCATTACCACCAGAACTTTTAGCTGTACATGATGCCTTCCATGTGTCAATCCTTAGGAATTACGTCCCTGATCCGAGTCATGTGGTCAACCATCAGTCTATTGAATTATAGCGAGGTTTGAACTATGAAGAAGTATACATAAGAATTGTTGATCAGAAATTTCAATCCAGAACAAAGTGATCCCTCTAGCGAAAGTACAGTGGCATAATCACTCGGTTGAAAAGGCTACGTGGAAGTGAGTGGTGGAGATACCGGCCAAGTACCTACAACTTTTCGATGAATTTCAAGGTAAATTTCGAGGACGAAATTAATTTTTAGGATGATAGATTATAACACATGCACCCGAATTTCTGGATCTAGTTAGGAGAATTGAAAATTTAAGGGCTCATTTGAGGGTTAATCCTAGAAGATCCTGGAACATCGTTTGAATCATAATATGCTAATTCTCACACGTTTTGCTCTTTGAAGAAGGATCAAGTTTGGTCAAACCATTATATAGAAAACCTTGATAAATGCTTTTTTTTTTGGTCATATTCATCATTGACCAAACATAGGGTAATGTGTAGTGTGAATGCGTGTGTATACAAAATGTAGTATTCGGGTGAGGAATGAGGGAGAGATTCTTGCTCATTTCAATAATTTTAAGGAACAATTTTCAATGCTAGAATTAATAGTCTTTCCACCATCATGGATTTTTCCTTAATGATGCATGCCTATTCTTGTCCTATTTAAGTCCCTCATTCACATTCACAAGCTACTACTCACTATTATTTTTTTGTAGTTCAAATAATATACACATATACACGCACATAGCCAATGTGGAAATTGTAAGAGGGACCAGGCAATTTTATTCTGTCTCTATTACTATTTCTTTTAAATTTCAAGGTAAGTACGCTACTATGTTTGGATTATTATTATTATGTTATAAATTTCAAGAAAATTATTATGGGTCTCATATGATACAATATGATTATGATTATGTTAAGAGGACCGGAGTTTAGTAGCTCTACATATAAGAATTCTTACCACCTATGTTCGATAAAATTCTTGAGTCTCCATTATATTGATTATGATTATTATGCTACTTTATGTTATACACGATAATAAATCGCGTACTTATGTGGATTTTATAAATCTCACTCCATGATATTTTTCCTTTCAGACAATTGATGGTTCGAGATAGTCAACACGAAGATGGCAACAGATTATGATTAATAAATTATATTGCGTTTGAAATACAACTTTTAAGTTTCTTTTTTTTATTATTTGACTATGCTAAGACATTATTTAGGCTATGTTTAAATCAATGCATTATTCTTTAAAATTAAGACTTCAAAATTAATCATTGAAATTAATACTGCTTTTTATTTGCATAATGAGTAAAATTGTTACTTATTTAAGTCCCTATAAAAAAATCGAATTTTATTTGGTGACACTCAAATAGTCAAGGATTCGGATCGTCTCATGAGTAGAAGCTGACATAACATGTGGATGTGGTTATGTAGCTAAGAACTTCTGAAATTGCTCTGCTAAATTAGTCAGCATGAGACTGGAGGAAGGTAGGGCTTCAAGTACAGATGAGTCACTAGGTGGCAGCTATGTTAGCATTTGTATGATTAGATCGTTAATGTGGTTGTGGTTGCTGATTCTTCAATAGTTTAGGACATTGAGACTTCCAATGTTCTTTTTGTTTGCAAAAGTTACACTCATCACTAGCAACTCTCACATAACATTTGTTCTGATTCTATGTAGACAATCGAGAGGGTACAACCAACATTGAGGTGTTAGATGGAGGAAGAGATAACTCTTCTACAAGAGATTTCAAACGTGTTTCCTCAGCTATAAGTTCATTAACCACCAAATCAACTGAGGGAAGTGGAGTACGATGCAAGATAGAGCCTCTAAGTCCCTCAAAATTATTGCAAAGTTCCATTAAAAATTGAACTAATCACTGCTCTTATCTAAAAGTAATATATTCCTCACATGCTTTCAATCCTGCTGATTCCATAAGAGCCAACTCATCCCAAATTGAATTCATAGCGACGTAAAACTCGAGAATACTCATATTATTCTATTATAAAGATCGTATATCAATCTCCAACTGATACTGCTTTGCAAAATTAGACTTAGACAACTTCTGAAAATAATCCCAAACTTCCTTTGCTGTTTCAAATTTCATCGACTGTGTACTAGTGGATTGCTCAACAGAATTATGAATTCATGAATTTTCGCATTGTTTGATTCCCAATTATCCAACTCTGTCCCATAATTCTCAGTGGTGTTCTTGGGTTTCACAACAATTCCACTAACATAGCCCTACAATCTTTTTCCCCTTAGAAAATTTCTCATCACGATACTCCAATATGAATAATTTTTATCATTTAATCTTACATTAATGGATTGAAGTGAATCATCTCTTTCAGTTGCCATCATAGAGTCAACAAAGAATCAACTACGAATCAACGAAATCACCCAATTCTAAAGATAACCAACGACAACCAATGTACTACCACAAACTACAATCGGAATATACTGCACAGTACACATATAACAAAAATAATACTACCAAAAGATCATAAATTTACCAAGGAACAAACTGCTCAAAAATTGAGCTCACCCGCCCTAAACGTCACTATGTGAGTCCCACGAGCCGTCGTCCAGTGCCACGAGCTAACTAGAAGAAGCGTTTCGACCTGCTGAACAAGAATTTGGTCTCAATTGTCTCAACTGGTCTCTGGTTCTATAGGAATCGTGATTTTTAGTTGCGGTCGAGTATGGTTTTACACAGTTTTTTTCTCACTAGTTTCTGCTTGAATTTCTAGCGTATTACAATTATAAATTTCACACAAATTTCACTCAACTATAAGCTCTAATACCATGTTAACAACATTAGTTATCTTAAACCAATATAGTGAATCAATTCAAAGAGAAGAGAAGAAGAAATAGAGAAAAATCAGTAACATATTGAGCCATTCAAAATTAGTTTTTTTTTTTAATGAAATACACAAAATCATATATTACAAGAAAATTAAACAAAAAGGAAACCTATAAAAGAAAGAAACTAAATATTA